GTCCAAACGTTGCGGTTTGCATTTGATACACGAGTAAGTCAACTCTCAAGTTACTGTTTTTTTCCTTTCTCTTGTGCATCTCCTGTTTCTCTTGATTGATAACTAGTAGAGATATGATTACTAAAGCAAAAGCGAATTTATACATAATTTATGACGTAATTGGCAGCTGCAATACATAATTTATGACGTAATTAGCAGCTGCAAATATGATGCCGTTTGATGAACATCTGTCCATGTTTTCGTCTGTTCTTAAGTCGTGAAATAGTTTGGCGTGGTTGTCATGTTTTTTAATTTAATGATTTGCAAAAACAATTTAAAGACCATTTAAAATGACATTTTTTTTTTCTTCAACACTTTTTTAAGCACCTAAAAGTAATTTCAAACAGACTACAGAAAACGTAAGAGAGCTTTCCCCCTCTTGGTTCTGTGCTACGTAGATGTAAAGTTTATATTTCCAACGGGAGCGATTTCTCTCGTCAGGAAATTGGTTATTAGTGAGCCTAACCATTTAGTTTGTCTGTGCAGGCGACCTCAGAGTTCAGTGCGGAAAAACAGCTGGACGACTTGCTTTTCCCGAGAATTCATTCCAAACCTCCAAAAATGAAACAAACGCATCAAAATGAATGCTGAACATTGTAAGCTTTCTCGACCACATTGCACTCTAATTATGGGTGTGTTTGTCTTTCTCAGGTTCCAATCTTTAATGTTTCAGAGCAAAATGGAAATAGGTAAATTTATTTCAAATTGTCGATTCATTTGATTACGAATCGATGATTGCATTCTTCGATTATTGTCAACTGGCCTTTTCCACCAACAGCTGCTGCTGTTTTACGCTGCCATTAACATATTTTCTAGCCTAGAAGTGAAAATGACCCTTTTAACGTAGGTTAATTACATGTTTCATCTAGTTAAGCTTGACTTGAGTTAGCATTAATTTAAGTGATTAGGCATAAAAATAATATCTTTTATTGAATTAATTAACTGATGTGAAATAAAAAAATTTCCTTATAATACAGATTAAATTATTAACTTATTCCTTCCAACTTTAAGAATTTTGTCTAACCAGCTTTTGAACTTTCAAAATTGTTGTGTCAAAATTTTAGTTCTGTTTAATAAGTTTTAAAACACTAAATTTTGTATTTCTAAACTTTTAACTTAAGATAAGTTTTTGAACTTTTACAAATTTAATTATTAATAAGATATGGGTTTGAAATTTATGTATAAAAGAATACTAAACTTTCCTTTCAATTTTTTTGCCTAGTAAATTTATGAATTTTAATAAATATCAAAATATAAAATATGATTTTTACTACATTAAGTTATGAACTAAATAAACAATGTTAGTTTTAAAATTTTAATTTATTATTTAATACTTTATACTAGGTGAATTATCTAGTCTCTATCTCAAACTCATAAATAGGGGTGAACATTAGAGATTGAAAAATGGAGTTGACTGACTATAATCGATCAATTTATGAACATTTTCAGTCAAGGACGATTTAAAACTAATATTCATAAATGACAAAACTGCCTTATTTCATATTTTCTAGTTAAAATATGGATAGTTCCATAAACCATTTCTTTTGATTTTAAAAGATTATGTTTTTATATAAATAAACTAATAATTTATCCATGAACCATTTCTTTTGATTTTAAAAGATTATGTTTTTATATAAATAAACTAATAATTCGATTTTGTTTTATTTGAAGATAAATAGTAGGAAGAACATTCAAATTTGATTCTGAAAAAGAATATTCAAATTTGAAGTATTAAAACATTTATGATATTCTAAATATATTATTGGAAATAGAATCTAATTTTGAATTTTTTAAAACTATTTTATTAAAAAAAAATTCTTAATTGTATTTACATTTTAATATTAATATACATTTCTAAAAATATTATTTATTGATATATTTATATATTTATGTTTAGTGTTTTTGCGAAAATTATATATTCTACCTAATAAATAATAAATGAAACATGTTTAAATGGTAACTTTAAAGTTATAAAATTTATTTGGTAATAAATATTATTTTTTAAAAAAAGCATACTACTAACTATTTTTAAATATTTTCCCTCTTAACTCATCTTTATTTAATCCTCCCCCAAATTAGTCTGTTTTATAGTTCTAACACTTCATTGGCTACTGTTAACATTTCTCTCAAACTTTTCACACACCAAATCCTTTTTCCCCACTATTACATGCATTACTATATCTCCCTCTTAACTTTCCGTTCTCCCTTGATTTCTCTGACCTATAATCCTAACTTTTTCTCTCAAAAAAAAAAAAAAAAAAAACCTCCAACGAGTTAGAATTTTTATTTTTTAAGAAGCAAATTATGGAACGATGGAGAAAAGCAAATTAAACAGAATTTAGGATTAAGGATTGAATCTAAAGCAAATTAAAAAGAAAAATCCGGATGGAGAAAAGCAAGAGGTAAAGAGCAATCACCTGTTATGAGCGCTCAGATGCTTCTCTCGTACGCGAACTGGGCTGCAACAAGGTCGAACACTGCAGACCCAACAGATTTGAACACAGTAATCTCATCCTCATTCCTCCTTCCCACAACCTCCCCTTTGATCAAATCCACCAGATTCCCCAAAATACTCCTCTTCTCAATGACCCCTCTTTCGAAAGCCCCCACCAACTCCCCTGCCTCCTCCAACGCTTCCTCACTGTCCACAAAAACCCTTCCTCTCTTGATCGCTAAATCGTCACACTCCCTCATTGAATGCTTAAACGACCCCACCAAATTTAAGTACGCCCCAGCCTTCAACTTATCACCTGTTAACCAAGACATTGACATATTAATATAATATTCCCTTTTTTCAAACACATTTTTTAGAAGTCCTTTAATTATAATAACTAAGGGTTGTTTGATAATATCATATAGGCCCAATAACTAAAAAGATCTCATTTGATAGTTATTTGATTCTTTTTAACTTCAAATTCAACCAAACAAAAGTGAAATTTTAAAAACAACGTTTTTTTCCCTCAAACTTAAACTCGAAAATATCAAGCAAAGTAATTCGTTTAATTTTTTAAATTAAAAGCTAAAAATCAAAAAAGTTATCATGGTTCTAAATAAACTTAGAAAAAAAAGGTAAATAGTAGAATTACCTTTGACCAGGGGAACCTCTGAGTTCGTTGCACAGCTCACAATATCCGCCACCGAGATCGCATCATCCAGATTTCCAGTACTCTCGAAGCACAGACCATCCATCCCTGCATTTTTCCGCATCTCATCGGCTAGTACTTTTGCCCTTTCCTCCGTTCTGTTCCAAATAATCACTTTCCTAACACTGGGTCTCACAGCCAAATGTGCTTTGATCAAATGGGGTCCCAAAGCACCCGCACCCACCATAACCATGACCCTGCTATCAGGCCTGGCTAAATATTTCGTAGCTAAACCAGAGATACAAGAGGTTCTGTAAAGAGTCAAAGTAGTGCCGTCTATAGAGGTCAGAGTTTGGCCGGTGGTGGAGCTAAAGAGCGAGTAACTTGCATGAATTGCAGGTAAGTTTAAGGCGGAATTTTGGGGGAAATGGGTTACAAGTTTGACGCCTATGTAGGGAAGAGCTGGAGAAGAAGACCAAGAGGGCATGAGGAGGAGAGAGGAATGAGGCTGAATGGTATGGCTTTGACGCATTGGGCTGGAAATTGTGGGGGAGACGATAGAAAGAGATGATTGGAAGTGCTCGATTAGATATTGGTGTGGAAGAATGGAGTCCAAATCTTCCTTGGTGATAAACATGGGAACTCTGCCTGTAATCTTCTTTGTGAGACTCGTTTTGTCTTTTGGGTTGTTGGGTGGGGATGCCATAGATCTAGAGATCTATTCTGGATTTTAAGTGAATTGGAGAAGACGAGAATTAGCAGGAGGTGGAGAATGGGGAGGAAAATAAAAAGGAGTCTAGACCAAGACTAGGAGATGGAGAAATAGACCTTTGGTTTCTGTTTCATTTCCTAGGAAAAAAATAAGAAATTCATCAGCCCAATCAATGACCTTCCGTTTCTGTTTCTTTTCCTGGGAAAAAAATAAGAAATTCATCAGCCCAATTTTTATTGATTTAACTTATTTAATAATGATCGAATAACAAGTCGAATGGTAGACTTCCATTGGGCTAACAAGTCCATCTCGAATACTTAAAAAAGAAAAATATCTAACTTACCAAACATATATAAAGTCGAAGCTTCTACGTAATTATCTGATAAAAATTAAAATCTTAAGAAAAAAAAAAAAAGATTGAGAATTTTAAAACTATTTAAAATTTTACATTTTATTAGACAATAAAATTTAAAAGTTGACAGCTATGACACAACCTCAATCGGAAATATGATCTGTACTTTTAACCTATAATAATTATCTTCAATGCCTATCCCTAATGTACGGTTCTCATTTCCAAAAGATCTGAGAGAACAAATTTGCAAATACGAAAAGCATAAAAAAGTAATAAAATTCGTGTCAAGCTTTTCTACAACGACTATTCAATTTCATATTTCGAAACATGGTCCATAGCAATCGAGAAGGGCATTTATCCTGTGTTAAAACGGATACTCTAATGGTGTGGAGACTTGTGTGGGGAAGAGAACAATTTGACTCCAAAATTAAACGACGATATCGAAAAGATCGGAAAATATTTAGGCGTTCAGGGATTTTTGTTTACCTTGCATCGATGCCTTGCTGCTCACGAGTTGGAAACGCATGCACAAAGATGGAGGTACTCATCCATTTGGCTGGAAGACTGGCCTTGGACGGACACTCTGCGGTAAGAAAAGATGCACTTCAAGAAGTCAGATTACTGCTTACTGGCTTCTATGCTTTTTATGTATTCTCAAAAATAAAATTGAACGCTATATAAATAAAGCCTGGATTTTTTTACAACTTAAAAGAAGTGCCAAACGTTTCAAAAGGTTAATTTTATACACATTCTGGAGAACTCTTGCAATCCTGGTATATGGTTGTCCCAAAGCACAAAAATCTCGACATTACGTTTAACCCTCATCATACCATACGTTTCATGTATTGCAGTAAGTAACATGACGCCCTAAACTCCACAGTTTGTTACGTATAGGCCTGCAATTCATCTGACAGAAAATGAAATTCTCCCAGTAGAATCCGCGCGGAGCTAATATTCTAAGGAAGCAACGGCCTAAATTGTAGCCAAATATCCAACGAGGTTCGTTATTGGATGAATAATTGGTTGCCTTCTTCATGGTCGAGCACGACTACCTCATATGTCTGGCAAAGTTCAAATACCGGTACTTCCAAATGTAAAATAATTATTAAGGTGCCGGAGAATGCATTTGCCATCCAGTCCTGACTTTTCAAGTGGACAAATCTTTTTTCATGTGGACAAATCTTTTATAGAGTTTTCCACAGCCATCCACCAGTCATCGTCTTCGAAATCTAGTTTTCCAGGGTCCTGGCAAAAAAAAAAAGAAAAAAGAAAAAAAGAAAAAAGAAAAAAAAGGAAAGAAAAAAAAAGAAGGGTCATCGAGTCAATACAATGAATGATGCTTTCCACTAAACATTATAAGCCTTTTCATTTTTCGAGACCTTAGTTCAGGTTCCTTCTGATCTACGAAAGAAAAGGACCTTCAAACTGTAAAATTAAGTAATTAAATATGACCTACCTCAATCCGTTTGTTTTCAACATCGTCTGCCACTCTCATCACTTCAAGCCACCAGGAGTCTTGGACACTGCTGTCTGTAATGTTCTTGTCACTAAGAAGCAAAAGACAATTTTGGTCGTTGCTTAGAGATCGATAGTTGATGCATTCATCGGTTGACTCTCTGTCATTTGATATTTGTTCTGAATCCGTAGAAACCCATTGACTAGGAATGGAATCAATCGGAGTTGGACGCAGAGGAGATCGGTAACCTGTAGGATGATAAGTTCAATTAAACAATGATTGCAAATCAATATTTTCCTAAAAAAAATTGACAATTAGGTGATATTCGAGCACCTCTACAATCTGGATCATGACACTTCTGATAATAGGCAGCCCTCCTAAGGTCGACAACATACATCACTGGACGATGAAAACATGGATAGTCAATGCTTTGCATGAAAGAAGAAAGGAGAAAATTCTCAGATGGTTTAAAGCAAACGAAAAACCAGAGGAACTAGATCACATTAAGGTTTAAATACTTAAATGATAACTGAGAAAAATAGGGAAGCTACACATGCTCAAACATTAGGTAGACGAGTACTTCACAATTCTACTTTTAGAAACACAAATTTAGGAGCAAAAAAGAATTCTCAATTCACAAGTACCATGATTGCTTTTGTGTTCTCGACCAATTCGTTCACAATATCTATTACGGGACATGCTGTAGACAATTAGTCCATATTCTGAGAACCAGTACCAGCAGCGTATTTTTCCTGGGAAGGCAGCAGCTACGTTAATAAACAGCAAGTAAAGTACAGAAGAGACAGCGATAGATATCACCAGACGTGAAGTCGAGAATTGACAAGAGCAAATATGCTAAATGCAAGAAGAAAAAGAACCATCATCTCCCTTTCAATAAATGTACGGAAACTCTGGTAAGAAGAATGACAATTTCTCTAAAACATTACAAAACTTGCCTATCTCATGGGGAATACAGACGTATTACCTGAAACACTACCAGTGGAGGCAACAGATTCAACGAACTTATCCACAGCTGGGAATGGCGACGTTCCCATGCAAGAAGATGCAGGAACATCATTCATGTAACCTGTCAACGGTGCTTCTTTGGCGAAACTGAACTGCCGTCCAAAATTACACTTCTCCTGCGGCAAGAGAACCTCAAAGGTAAACAAATTTTGAATAATTAAAATAAAGTTACGAGAACGTGTGGATTTATAAGATAATTTAATTTGAAAGGTATAATCCACGTCATGAACTGTTCAAAGCAGCTTTACAATTAAACTGAAACTCAGCTTGAGATTACCTCCATTTCAAATTGTAATGTCTTCACGCAGTCTAAATCTGTTTTGCAAACCAGAAGCTTATCACAGTCAGCATCAACGTTGCAGATCAAGGATGCCATGAACATGTCTTCCTCACACTATAGTTAAATATGTACAAGGTAAATAATAGGATCCTTCTCAGAATAACGTATCTTCTGCAAATACTTCCTTACAAAGTCGAGTAACAAAACAATTTCAATAAATTGGAAAATTTTGTGCAAAGTTTTATAAATAATGATGACTGCGAAGAACCTTGAGCCTCGTTCACTATGGGAAACTAGAATCACTTTTCTTTTTTCTTTTTTTCTTTTTATCTTAACTTGTCTCGCAAAAATAATTGCCAAATTCAAGTAAAATTACCTAGTTACCCACGCATGACCTCTGAACAATGGAAAAAGGAAATCAGAGCCAAACGCCACGAATAAAAAGAACCTAATTCAATTTCACCGAGGAAGATCTCTCAAACTTCCCAATCTTTTCTTTCTTCCTTCTTCTTCTTTCTTTTCTTTTTTTTTTTTTTTTTTTTTTTTTTTTTTTTTTTTTTTTTTTTTTTTTTTTTTTTT